AATTTCAGTTTTTTCGAAGGGTTAAAATGATTGGTTCTTTCCAAATTGTGCACATTTATTACAACGGGAAGAAGCCCTAATCATTAGGAGTTTTTACTAAAGGTTCAGATTCATTTCTAAAGTACCGGGTCCATTTTCCCTACTGTATTTTATTATTTAATATTATAAAATTTTTTATTTAAAATAATATAATTATTACTATTATTACTACTATTAAATCATTTGAATATTATATTATATTATTATTATATATAATTATATTATTAAATTAGAATGTTAATATATTTTTTTTATTATAATTTATACATTAAAAATATATTTAAAAAATGGTTGAATTAATTACAGATTTTAAATTATTTGTTTTTTAAACTTAATATTAAAATTAATTAATGTCTTTTTTAAATAAAAAACAAAACAAAACAATGTTTGTTGTTTTTGTTATTTTTGTATTAAACGGGATATCAAAATCAAACTGCTTGTCATAAAAATATTTAACAAAAAACACAATAACTATATAAAAACAATTTATACTCAATAAATCATTCTTATTTGAATACACATGTCTCAAACATAGACTCCAACGCAATAATCTATATTGTGTCAAATGCATCGCTCTTTATTTTATTAAGTATATCGTTGGACTTGTCGTCCTTATGTTGTTTGTTGTTTTTATTATTATTTGTTTTGGTTGATAATTGTTTCGAACTCACAACCAGATTAATTAAATTTGAAAATTATTAACAACAAATACGACAAATATTCAACACTAATATATCCCACATATCATGATATTTATTGTTAATGCTTTAAGAAACAATTTAATTAAAGTCAAACAAAAAACTTTAGTTGTAAACAAAAAGTGGAAGGGAAGATAAGAACAGATCAGTTATCTAGTTATAAATATTGATACAAATAAAAGACGGGAAAAACTGGAGATTGTCTAATTATTAAGATTTATTGTAAAAAGTCCGTATTAAGGTTCGTAAATATCTTTAAATTTTATTTCGTTTTGATGATAATAAATATTTTTTTGTATAATTATAGTTAACTTTAAATTGTTAAATTATATTTAATTATAAATAAATTTTTAAATGTTCAACATATTTTTAACAATAAATTCTGTTTTTTGACACATATTTCCTGATTTATTTGTTTTATAATGTGTAATATAAGCTTTTTTTACTAAATTCTTTCTTATAAATTGAATTGACTTTTTGATTTGCTTTCTGGTTTTGAATTGTAATATTTTTATTAATTAGATCTTCTTTATATTAAAATATTATTAAAGTATTTATTAATATTTAATATTTTATTTGTATATTGATTTGTTTCCTTTTTTATTTTATTTTGATTTTTTAATAATTAATATTATTAAATATTAAATATTTAAGTAAATTTTGATAGTAAAAGGTTTAATTTTTTATCAAATTTAATTTGATTAGTAATAATGAAGTGGTCTTTCAATACTTATATTTTTAATATAAGTATTATTTATGAAATTAATTTAACTCGCCAACAACCCAATACTGCTTTTATTAACAGTTTTTTTAAAAATTGTTTCAAAACTGTTTAAATATTTTTGAAATATTAATAGGTTATTTTCCCGAAAAAATAAATAAAAATAAATAATATATAAATTTCATAATTGGATTATTTTTTATTTTTTATACCAAAAAATCGTTTTGTGCATTTATTTTTTTAATAAAAATTTAAAAGCAAAACATAACAAAAATTACAACCAAAATAATATAGAGTTGGTGGGAAAAGTCGGCTTTAGCAAATTATAGTAAAATATAATATTTATTGTTATAAATTCAAATCACATTTTATATTATTTTAAAAACATTAATTAAAAACAAAAAAATAATTAAAAATATTTGAAAAACCAAACAATGGTTGAATTTTTTTTGTATTCCCGTTAATAAAATTGATTTTTCGGATACATAAACGGTCAATTGCGACCACTTGATGTTTGTTTTTAAAAATGAAAATGATGATTTAGTAAGTATAAAAGAAAGCAAATATGATAGTTATCAAACTAATCATTTGATTAATTATTTAATAAATACAACACAATTCAATAATAAAAACTTAAATGTAGCATTTAGAAACAATTAACTTCTAACAACAAATTTGGACTTTAAAATATATTAAAGAAGTCCACAAAACGCAGTGAATGTTTAAAAAATCACACATTCAATCCACTAATCAATTTCTGTGTCAAAGTGTCAATGTGTAAAATCAACTGAGATTGATTATGGTAATAACTTATAGTTTTTAAATATTCAATTTCTGTATTTAATTTCAAAAAGTGTCTCAATATCTAAATTATATTTGTGTCCTGATTGAAAGTTTTATAATT